TTCAAACTTGATCTGTGTTTTGTGGTAATAGGCATAATGTATAAGTTTCATAACATTTAGTTGAAGCAAACTAAAGTTAGAGAACGGAAACTAAAAATTCAGAAATTTTTCAATTTGTAAAGGGGCATAACTCTAGAACGGTTAAAGTTATACCACCAAAATTCAAACTTGATTTGTGTTTTCTGGTAATAAGCATTTTGTATAAGTTTCATAACATTTAGTTGAAGCAAACTAAAGTTAGAGAACACAAACTAAAAATTCAGAAATTTTTCCATTTGTAAAGGGGCATAACTTTAGAACGGTTAAAGTGACGCCACCAAAACTGTAACTCGATCTGTGTTTTGTGGTAATAAGCATTGTGTTTCATAACATTTGGTTGAGGCAAACTGAAGTAAGAGGACGGAAACGAAAAATTCAGCAATTTTTATACGACCGCAAAAAAATTTTGCGATCGTATATTGGTATGACGTTGGCGTCGTCGTCCGAATACACATTGGTTTTTCGCACTCTAACTTTAGTTTAAGTGAATGGATCTCTATGAAATTTTACCATAAGGTTCAATACTACAAAAGGAAGGTTGGGATTGATTTTGGGGGTTATGGTACCAACAGTTAAGGAATAAGGGGCCATAAAGGGGCCAAAAATAAGCATTTTTGTAACTTCCAGACATAACTTGTGTGTTAGTGTATGGATCTCTCTGACATTGTACCACAAGGTTCCATATCACAAAGGGAATGCTGGGGTTGATTTTGGGGGTAATTGCCTCAAAATTTTAGGAATTAGGGACCAAAAAAGGGGCAATAAACAAGCATTTTTACATGGACAAATACTTTAGTACAAAACATAATTTTAAAGCAGTGCAAGGGAGATAAATCAAATACATCATTTGAATTACCTCCCTTACACTAATTTTAAATTATGTATAAAGTAATGGTTAATGAACATTTAAGACAATTTAAAACAGTGTAAGGGAGGTAATCCACATACAACGTTTTGATTACTTCCCTTAGACTGCTTTTAAATTATGTTTAAAGAAATGCATATTTATAAAGGAAGACCAGTAAAAATATCTGCAAATGTTGCATCTTTTTTTTTACAAAAAAATCCATATGAAAGATTTGACACCATATTTTAAATTCTATTATAAAATAGATTAAGTTAGCACTATGGTAAATTTAAATGGGTAATTATGGTTGGGAAAAAAAGAGGGGGGGGGGGTAAAAAGAAATTGTGGGGGGTCAATTTTTTCTCATTTCAGATTTCAGAAATTAAAAAGAATTATTCTTCAAATATTTTTCTTTTTTCAAATTTCAAAAATTGAAAAATTTCAAGAAGTAATCTTTAATTGCACAGTATGGCGCATTAGATTTGTAAAATCTTTTATCACATTTATTTATTTGTTATGCCAAATCTGACCGTGTATTTAGATTTTTAAATTTTGGTCCAATTTTCAAGTTGGTCCAAATTTGGGTTCAAAATTAAACTTTGTTTGATTTCAACAAAAATTGAATATATGGGGTTCTTTGATATGCTAAATCTAACCATGTATTTAGATTTTTTATTTGTGGGCCCCGCTATCAAATTGGTTCATATTGAGGTCAAAGGGTCCAAAATTAAACTTTGTTTGATTTCATCAAAAATTGAATTATTGGGGTTCTTTGATATTCCAAATATAACCGTGTATTTAGATTTTTAATTTTGGGTCCAGTTTTCAAATTGGTCTACATTAAGGTCCAAAGGGTCCAAAATTAAACTTAGTTTGATTTTAACAAAAATTGAATATATGGGGTTCTTTGATATTCTGAATCTAAACATGTATTTAGATTTTTGATTTTGGGCCCAGTTTTCAAGTTGGTCCTAATTGGGGTCCAAAATTAAACTCTGTTTGATTTCAACAAAAATTGAATATATGGGGTTCTTTGATATGCTGAATCTAACCATGTATTTAGATTTTTTATTTGTGGGCCCCGCTATCAAATTGGTTCATATTGAGGTCAAAAGGGTCCAAAATTAAACTTTGTTTTATTTCATCAAAAATTGAATTATTGGGGTTCTTTGATATGCCAAATCTAACCGTGTATTTAGATTTTTAATTTTGGGTCCTGTTTTTTAAATTGGTCTACATTAAGGTCCAAAGGGTCCAAAATTAAACTTAGTTTTATTTTAACAAAAATTGAATTCTTTGGGTTCTTTGATATGCTGAATCTAAAAATGTGTTTAGATTTTTGATTAAGGGCCCAGTTTTCAAGTTGGTCCAAGTTGGGGTCCAAAATTAAACTTTGTTTGATTTCAACAAAAATTGAATATATGGGGTTCTTTGATATGCTGAATCTAACCATGTATTTTGATTTTTTAGGCCCCGTTATCAAATTGGTCCACATTGAGGTCAAAATGGTCCAAAATTAAACTTTGTTTGATTTCATCAAAAATTGAATTCTTTGGATTTTTTGATATGCTGAATCTAACCATGTATTTAGATTTTGGATATTAGACCATAATAGGTAAATTAAAAAAAATTAAGTTCTTAGACCACATTCATTCTGTGTCAGAAACCTATGCTGAGTCAAATATTTAATCACAATCTAAATTCAGAGCTGTATCAAACTTGAATGTTGTGTCCATACTTGCCCCAACTGTTCAGGGTTCGACCCCTGCGGTCGTATCAAGCTGCGCCCAGCGGAGCATTTTATTTCATTTGTAAAGAGGCATAACTCTAGAACAGTAAAAGTGACGCCACCTAAATTCAAACTTGATCTGTGTTTTCTGGTAATAAGCATTGTGTATAAGTTTCATATCTCTACAACGGTAAAATTGACGCCACCAAAATTCAAACTTGATCTGTGTTTTGTGGTAATAAGCATTGTGTATAAGTTTCATAACATTTGGTTGAGGCAAACTAAAGTTAGAGAACGGAAACCAATTTTAGGACGTACGTACAGACGGACAAGGGTAAAACTTAATGCCCCCTCTGCTACGGTGGGGGCATAATCACTATCACAGGACTTAAGATGCTAAATCATATGGCAGTTCTTAATCTGTATATGTTACAGGTAAGAAAAAGTCACCAATTTTACATATGGTACTACCGTAGAAGATGTGCTAATTCCATATACTGTAAAAATTTTGCAATGTTTTTATTATTGAAAAAATTGTGACGGAATTGGTATTACAAATATAACAAGAGGCTGTCAGAGTGTTAGCAAACCGGATTTTCCTGCAGAGGTCGAACCCTGAACAGTTGAGCAAGTATGGACACAACATTTAAGCTTAAAATAGCTCTGGATTGTGATTGAATATTTGACACACCTTAGGTTTGTGACACAAAATAAATGTGGTCAAAGAAATGAAAAATTTAAAATCGGACATTTACCTATTATGGTCCAATATCCAAAATATAAGTACATTGTTAGAATCAGCATATCAAACCCCAAGAATTCAATTTTTGATGAAATCAGACAAAAGTTTAATTTAGGACCCCTTGGACCTCAATGTGGTATTATCTAATTAATAATGAAAAAAAATACAGGTTTAAATTCAGCATTTCAAAGAACCCTATATATTCAATTTATGTTGAAATCAAACACAGTATAATTTTGGACCCCGATTTGGACCAACTTTGAAAACTGGGCTCAAAATCAGAAATCTAAATACAGTCGAACTTCGTTTTGTCGAAGTCGAAGGGACCGGAAAAAAAGTATTCGACTCATCCGAGGTCGAGTGTTTCGTCATAACTTTGGAATGAATGAAATACTGTACGAGATTTGTGTAAACTAGAAATTTGAACAGTGTGTCATTTTTTATATTACACGTTATGAGTGTTCAATCTTCATATATTTTGGTCCCTCAAACATGGACAGATACAAAACATTCACAAATAAAATCAATACACAAATATTTACAAAGGTCAGTCACTATAATTTATGAAATCACTCGAGGAACGAAACAAGTTCAGAAAGAATTCTGATGATCAAGGGTCGTCAGCTTTTTATTCAATTATTATAAATTGATTACAATTGTTTTAATCCTTTTATCTATCTTAATTAATGAATTTTTATTTTAAAGATTGAATTAAACTCAGCATGGGTCATTTAAATTCGTTTTGCTTTTATGTCAGGTGAAATATGTTCAACACAATAAAGCTCCGCTTGGACGATCAACAAAGGTGTTAATTACCGGTCACCATAAACATGTCATTTAAACTGTTATACTAACAAGTATGTTTACACAGCTTTAATCTCTTTTGAAAATGATTAGGTTGCATAAGAAATACATCCGATTTGAATTGTTATCATTAAGTTTGCATCTTTAGAAATTTCTTAAATTTCAAACTTCGATACATCGGGGTCAATTTACATTAATTTTACATCGGCGGGACTATAAAGTTTACTCAACTTAACCGAGTATTCGAATCAACCGAGTTCGACTCATCAGAGGTAAATTTGCATTGGTCAAACAGGAATTTTACCGGGACCAAGAAATTACTTCGAATCATCCGAGTTTTCGACACAACCGAGTTCCGACACAACGAGGTTCGACTGTATATGTTTATTAGTAGACAAACTAAGCTTAGTTTTTAAAGGAGTTCGCTTCATAAAAAAAAAATATATAGCATTCAGAAAATAAGTTTATACAGAATAACAAAACAATCCTACCACAAAATTCTTCAAACAATTTACCAAAGAAAAGAAGAAAAAAAATCCAAAATGTCATTTATCATTAATACAATTTCTATTAAAAATCTATAAAACTTATCTGTAATTATCTTCAAAATGTCTAATAATGAACAGTAAATTTCAAACTTTATTTATACTGTCCTACAGATCTTATCATCATCAACACTTAGGAAACAGAAAATTTTCAAATAAATCTGTCACTCCAATTATAATTGTGTGATAAGATATTTACCAGATGTTATCTGATAACAGGTGAAAATTATTTAATAAACTGTTAACACAGAGATATGTCTCGCCTATTTGTTATTTTGATAATACAAATGTTAAAATTAAAATAGCAATACTTTAACATGTAAGTTATGCAAATATTCAAAGTCAATGAACCATGACTGACAGTACAGGGCTAAACAATCTTCATGGAAATGAGATATGCCAATGCTAATACAACTGCAAACCAAATACCATTGACTTTTCATAAGTTGTTCCCTTTAAACAAACCTAAACACAAACATTAACTTGTAAACTATGTAAAAGTTTCAAAGTCAATGAACCATAATTAGGGAGTGGGGTTATATAATCTCCATGGAAATGAAACTTGCAAATGCCAATACATTTGCATAACGAATATCACTGACTTAACATTAGTGGTTCATCTTAAACTGACCTAATCACAAACTAATACATGTAAACTAAGTAAAAGTTTCAAAGTCAATAGACCATGAATCAGGGGGCGGGGCCAAATAATCTCCATGGAAATGAGATATGCCAATGCTTATACAGCTGCATACCAAATATCATTGACCTACCACTAGTGGTTCCCCCATAAACTGACCTAATCACAAACTTATACATGAAAACTAAGCAAAGTTTCAAAGTCAATAGACCTTGACTGAGGGGTAAGGACCAAATATTCTCCATGGAAATGAGATGTGCTAATGCTTATACAACTGCATACCAAATATCATTGACCTACCACTATTAGTTCCCCTTAAACTGACCTAATCACAAACTAATACATGAAAACTAAGCAAAAGTTTCAAAGTCAATAGACCATGAATGAGGGGGCAGGGCCAAATAATCTCCATGGAAATGAGATATGCCAATGCTTATACAACTGCATACCAAATATCAGTTACCTACCACTAGTGGTTCCCCATAAACTGACCTAATCACAAACTAATACATGAAAACTATGCAAAGTTTCAAAGTCAATAGACCTTGACTGAGGGGGCGGGGCCAAATGATCTCCATGGTAATGAGATGTGCCAATGCTAATACAACTACATACCAAATATCATTGACCTACCACTAGTGGTTCCCCGTAAACTGACCTAATCACAAACTAATACATGTAAACTAAGCAAAGTTTCAAAGTCAATAGACCTTGACTGAGGGGGCGGGGCCAAACAATCTCCATGGTAATGAGATGTGCCAATGCTAATACAACTGCAGACCAAATATCACTGACCTACCACTAGTGGTTCACCATGAACTAGACCTAATCACAAACGAAAACATTGTTGATGCCGCCGTCACCATCGCCGCCTGAAACAGCATACCTATGTCTCGCTTTTTGACTCCGTCAAGGCGAGACAAAAACACTTAGTGTAATCAAACTTTATATATATAATTAATAGTTCCCAATATTTTTTCTTTCATTTGTCACAAACTAATATAGATCTGCAACTTATCTATCAATGTCAACAATTTCATCTGCACAATGTAATGTAATGAAATATATCCTTTAATAAAAATAAATTATTATCTAATGAAAATGATATTTGCAAATCACAATTTCTGTTCAAAGGGAAATAACTCAATCATATAATAAGTATAACTTTTGGCTACTAAAAGGTCAACAACTCAACTGAGAAAAGCTAAAATTGTAAAAATTGAAGTTGACCTTCATTTAGTCACAGGAAACAACATATCTAAATTTGAAAAAATTTCTTCAAAGCGTTTGCATGTTAATGAACGGACACTGTTTGGCAGCCACCCGCCCGCCCGCTGTACATTCCCCAAATCAATAACCCATTTTTCCTTTGAAAATCTGGTTAAAAACTCACACATTAATTATTTATAGCATTATTTGTATACAGATATTACCTAATTCACAATAGTTAATCTTGGGTTTATGTCCATTCTCCAAAAATCACTATAAAAAATGCACTAGAAAATTTCTGAATTTATATTATTTGCCTGTCCTCACTATGCCTTTATTAACAGTAATTTTAATACAAGTAAATTTGGAATTAAATCCACCATTCAGTATACAATTGATATTCTGTTCTTACTTTTATTATTGAGAAAAGTTGGTAACACTGAACATCAGACAGTTTCTGTCTTTAACTTTTTTTTCAGCTAGAGTAACTCCATACAAAAGGAAGTCTAGATTAAAATAACAAAAACACATGAAGTACATGGAAAAGGGCTCAGGGTATAAAGTGAAAAAAAGCAATCTTGCAACTAGATCAAAGCACACAGCTAGTGCTTTTGTAAATTATCTGGCAGATAGGTGTCTTTACTCTTGCTACTTCCCCCCCTTTTTTTATTTGAATGGCATTATGTTTCAAAAGTATTAGACTGAAAAGAAAAACACAGTCATTCTTAGATTTGAGATGTAAAATTATGACTTTTTGCAGATAACTTTGGGAGAAGAAGGATCTTCTTTAGAGTTCAGACATATAGCCAGTTATTCCATGTGGTACTGTGTACATCATCAGTGTGAAGAACTGTTACATGAAGTCATAGTATGTGTGGGATATTTTACAGTTCTTAATCCAGATAATCAGGTAATCCTTTCATTTTTATAGGACAGCAAAAAATTTGCTTTCGTATATTGCTATCATGTTGTCGTCATCCTCCAAAGACATTTGGTTGCCAGACAATAACTTATGTATAAGTGAATGGATCTCTATGAAATTTGACCACAAGGTTCAATAGTACAAAAGGAAGGTTGGGATTGATTTTGGGGGGGTTATGGTCCCAACTGTTTAGGAATTAGGGGTCAAAAAGGGGCCAAAAAAGGCATTTTTCTAGTTTCCAGACAATAACTTGTGTATAAGTGTATGGATCTCTATGAAATTGTACCACAAGGTTCCATACCACAAAGGGAAGATTGGGATTGACTTTGGGGGTTATGGCCAAAACGGTTCAGAAATTAGGGGCAAAAAAGGTTTTTCTGGTTAAAGGACAATTACTTAAGTATTAGTCTATGGATCTCTATGAAAAGGTTCCATTCCACAAAGGGAAGGTTGGGTTTGACTTTGGGGGTTATGGCTCAAACCGTTCAGGAATAAGGGGCAAAAAGGGGGGGGGGGAGGGGGACAAGGTTTTTCTGGTTTCCAGACAAATACTTAAGTAGTAGTCAATGGATCTCTATGAAATTGTACCACAAGGTTCCATACCACACACAGAAGGTTGGGGTCGATTTTGTGGGTTGTGGCTAAGCTGGTTCTAACATAAATTATTTGTGATCTATATAAAGAAACAACAAATACTGATATGGCAGGAGATACACACCAAACAGGGTGTGTAAATTCTTATATTTAGTTTGTAAACAGATTTACTAAGTATTGCACAACAGCGAGAAATCGTCAATCAAAAATAAATACAAATCTTTTAACCAATTTCAATGAGGATTAATTTAATGTCTTTTTTTTTAAAATTCAAATACAATTTATTTCCAATATCCTGTTACAATTACCTTAGTAGCCCAGGAGAGCATACTTAGGGTCCCTGTGTTACATTCTCACTCCTGTCCAGAGAAAACAGGCGAGACAAATGTACACTTTATTTATAAAATTACATATTGTAGTTTTCTTATATTAAGTTAAAACCAAGTCAAACACACCCAACATAATGCATTAAATTGATCACACCAGATCTATAAACAGTGATACCTGTCTACAACAAGGTAAGTTTTAAATCAGGTTATATACATTGCTCTATTTTTTTTTATAAACAATTGAAATGTAATAAGAAGGTAAACAAAATCACCTTTTTTTTCTAATGGAATGTATCGATACATTAACTTAAAAAAGTAAAAGTACACATTTGACCTAATTATTACATATCTGATCTAATAAGTGTACCAGATCATTATTGATATCTGGTTCTTTATTTTGTAAATGATTTAAATGTAATACGATATTTTCTTTTAGTTCACAATAAAATTGTCTAATAATTCTATTATTATTGCAAGTGATGTTTTCAAACTTTATTAGATTTCGAAGTTTCCATATTGTCCATTTGGCTATGCATATTAGAATATTGCCAAATATAATTTCCTTTATAGGCCTGTCATAAATACCTAGGATCATATTTATCTCTTGTAGAATTAATTCATGTGTCAAGTGTACTTTTGTGAATATAGTTTTTAATTCTAATATTAATGGGTAGATCTTTTTACAATTATAAAAAAGATGATTTTGTGTTTCAATGTGATTTTTGCAAAAATGGCAGTTACCTTGAACCAAAGAATGCTGAAATCGATGTAGTCTAGATTCGTGTAAATAATGTTATGAATGGACTTCCAATGGAATTCACTAATTTTATTTTTTATACATAGATTTCTTGAATTACCCCAAACCGATTTCCAGTCAATACTTACAGCAAACTCAGTTTCCCATTTTAATTGTGCCTTAGGTAAGGTATTTTGATTAAGTTCTTGTTGAACATCTTTCGGTTTTAAATTTTTGGGAGTTATTTTATTACCTGAAATTGTGTACAGATCTAAGTTGTCTAATTTAATTAACAAATTGACCTGCTGACTCGGTAAAATGTTTATACCCCTCAGTATATCTATGTACATTTTAGGTATAGCATTTATAATTTTTGAATATTCGGCTATGCAATTTCTCTTATCAATATAAAGTCGATTATATATAGAATTACAGTTTTGGAAAGTATTCGTTTCAAGATTCCATATGTTACTAATAGTTGTTATTTTACTCTTGATGAACGATTCAAAATATAGAGATTTTCTTTCAAATTTAATATCATAGTTACAAAAAAGTCGAGTTTTCAGTATTTCTTCCTTCGTATAAGGTGTGTATATTTTTCTTAGTTCTGATAAAGAGTTAAGGGCATTTGTCATGGTGTGTTATTTGGCTTATATTTTTAATAGTATGATTTTGTATAAAAAATATGTTTTATCTTTTAGATAGAAAATTTTAAGTTTGTATTTTGTAAAATTTTTAATTAATTTGCTTAATTAATTTTACCTATGTAGTGGCATTAGTACTCGAAATGTCACAGTTTGCTCAAAGCACTTTGATTTGAAATATTAATTGTAATTAGCATATGTCACTATAAAAGTTTAAGATTTTATCAAAACATTATAGGATTAGGCTTTGTTAATTAAAGTCTATTTTTGCTAATGAGAGTAATATTAACATGTAGAGACATATTTATTTATTTTTGGATTTAGTATAAATAGCGTTGTGAAATTTTGTAAAAGCAGTCAGTGTTTCGGAACCGTAACCTCTCACTACTCACGTCATGATACTGGACCTACAAGACTGTCTACCAGTCTACCAGTTGACGATTTAGTGTTGAGACAAAATATATCTTTGACTCATAATTTAACTTTGGAAAATACTTTTGAGAATCTTTTATTTTTGAGACTTTTACATTTTGATTTTGAGATTAAGTTCAGTTTATGATTTAGTAGTTTTGGCATTTATTTTACATTTTACATTGTAAGGAGAAATAGTTTTACTTTGGATTTGATATTAAGATTTGATACTTTGTACTTTAATTATTATTATTATTTGGCATTGTTTACTAATTGATTGTTATCATCATTCCTCTAAATTGTTATCTTTAATTAAATTATGAAAACCTTCCTTGCGTTTTAGCTATGCCTATCAGAACATTAAGTCTAGCGATAGACTGACCCCCTGTCCCTTGGTTCCAGCACATACGAGTTAGCTCCCCCTTATCTAACAGTGCTGTGGGACCTTGGTGACACATTTATAAAGAACGGTGGAATTGATGATAGACTAAAATTAGATAGATCTGTGCATCTACATAATAAATACTCTTCTTCAATTGTTACATCAAATTTTTGTAACCAGTTTTTACCCAAAATATTCCAAGTTTCTTCATCTGAGTGAATGATCTTGTATAAACATTTTATTTGTCTACTCTTTACAAAGGAAAAAATGTTAATCATACCCATCCCACCCTTTTTGGTGTCTATGCAACAAACATTCCTATCTATTTGGTTAACTTTATCATTCCAAATAAACGCCCAAATGAGTTTGTTTATTGCGTTTAAATATTGGTTTGGAATCCCACGACTGTCAATTTCAAACCCTATTAAGGACAAGATCATACTTTTTACAATGAGAGTTTTGCCGGTGAAGGTAAGATTTCTGGTTTTCCAGACCTCCAGACAACTTCTTATTTTATTGATTTTATCACTCCAAATCATATTATCGTCTATTTCATATCCATGATGGACCCCTAGAGTTTTAACATTGTTTTTCACCCATTTAATTTTAGTAAACCTAGGTTTTTTTCCTTTTAACCTCCCTATAAACAGACCTTTTGTTTTATCGTAGTTTATTCTAGCCCCAGAAGCAAATTCGTATATTATTAAAATTTCAAATGACTTCTCTACTGATTTTTCGTTTTTATTCAATAATTGAGTGTCATCTGCAAAGAGACTGATTTTTGTTTCATGAGTATATGTATTAGCCGGTAACTTAATGCCTTCAATGTCTTTATTAGCCCTTATTGAACATAAAGCAGAGGTTCTATTGGACAGCCTTGCCGTGCTGATCGTGAAATTGGAACATATTTAGAAACAAATCAATTTTTTGAATCTTTTAACAACATGTTTATCC